TAATATGAAAAACATCAGTCAGCATTTGACTCAATGATAAATTGTATTTGCTGACAAGGTCATTGTATCGACCATAGAACTTACGAAATGATGACTTTAAACGAGACAGCTGATATTCTTGTTTCATTAACTTGTTTGTCAATTATTTACCTCGTTTTAGAAATTGTACATACGTAGAGCATGCTCTTGCGTATCGAATCAACTGAGAGATATATACCCCGCGTGCAGGTGATGAAGGTATATTGCTGCATAAGTAAGGGAAGTTGACGATTGAAAAGTTAAAGTCATCACGTTTATCATAAAGTTTGGTTGTTAGATTACCATTAACGTCTTTTTCAAGTAAAATATCCAAATATGAAACAGATGTGTCAGACTCTGTGGTATCTTTTATCTCAAGCTCACAAGGATATATCGTATCGACATCAGAATGGAAATAGCCATTGTTACTTGACAATACGTCGTCGATATATCTAAATGTCGAGTTGAAGGCCACAACAAGTGTTTTCTTCTTTTCACGTACAAGATTTTGGACCCGTTCTGCTTCATATGAGTACAAAAAAGATCTGCTAATAACGGGGCGCAATTGGTACCCATGGGAATTCCAATAGATAGGTAAAACATTACTTAGGCTAATTATGCATTTTCTGGTAAAAATTTGATCCACTCTTATTTTTTATTGAAAAATATATATAGATATCTAGGCATCTAAAACAAATAGAAAGATGTTTTATACTTAATTGTATTTTTAGGTCACCTGAGTCACTCAGGTGACCTATTGCTATCTGTTTTCGTCCGCCGTCGTGCGGTGTGCGTCGTGTGTTAACATTTGAACATTTTTAACTTCTTCTCTAAGGCCGTTTAACCAATTTCAACCAAATTTGGCATATAGCATCTATGGGTGAAGGGGAACAAAACTTGTGAATTTCATGATCCCTGCCCCCCACCCCCCCCCCCCCTTGGGGCCTGAGGGGTGGGACTAAAACCACCAAAATTAATGCAATCTTTAAAAATCTTCTTCTTTACTCCTGGACATCGAGCAATCTAACTGTTGGCATGACTGTAATAAGTATTGAGCCCTCTACCAAAATTGTGAAATTCATGGCCCCAGGGGCAGGGGTTCTGGTGCTAGGGTTGGGCTATGTAGATCATAGTAAGTACATTGTTATGAGAAGCAAGAGTCCTCTTTCAAAATTGTGAATTTCATGGCCCCAGAGTCAGGGATTCTGGTGTAAGGGCGGGGCTCTATTGATTATATAGGGAAAATGCATCAATTCTTTGAAAATCTTCTTCTCTGCTCCTGGGTATTAAATTAACTAACTTCGTACATCGTTATGATGAGCAAGAGTGCCTCTTCCAAAATTGTGAATTGGATGCCCCTGGGTCAGGGGTTCTGGTGTTAGGGCGTGGGCTTTATTGATTATAAAGTAGAATTGCATTAATTCTTTGAAAATCTTCTTCTCTGTTCCTGGGTATTAAATAAACTAACTTAGTGTATAGTTATGATGAGCATGGTTGCCTCTTCCAAATTGTGAATTTCATGGCCCCAGGGTCAGGGGTTCTGGTGGGGGGGGGGCTCTTTTGATTATATAGTAAAAATGCATTAATTTTTTGAAAAACATCTTCTCTGCTCCTGGGTATAAAATAAACAAACCATGTACATGGTTATGATTAGCATGGTTGCCTCTTCCAAATTTCTGAATTTCATGACCCCTGGGTTAGGGGTTCAGGTGTTAGGGCGGGGCTCTATTGATTATGTAGTAAATTCCATTAATTCTTTGAAAATCTTCTTCTTTGCTCCAGGATATTAAATAAACTAAGTACATAGTTAGATGAGTATGGCTGCCTCCTCAAAAATTATAAATTTCATGGCCCCTAGGTAAGGGGTTCTGTTGTTAGGGCGGGGCTCTATTGATTATATAGGGAAAAGGAATAAATTCTTTCAGAATCTTCTTCTCTGCTCCTGGGTATTTTTCAAAGAAATGAAGTGCATGGTTATGATAAGGAAATAAGGAAGAATGCCTCTTCCAAAATTGTGAATTTCATGGCCCCAGGGTCAGGGGTTCTGGGGGGGGGGAGCTCTACTAATTAAATTGTGAAAATGCATAATTTCTTTCAAAATATTTTTTCTACAACTGGTTATAAAGTAAAGAAACAGGTGTATAGTTATGATGAGCAAGGGTGCTTCTTCCAGAATTGTGAGTTCAAGGCCAATGGGTCAGATGTTTTGGTGTAAGGATGGGGCTTTATTTATTTAATAATATAGTGAAAATGCATTTCTTTGAAAATTTTCTATGCTCCTGGGGATGTTCGAGGCAGACAGAGTAAAAATTTTAATATGCAAGAGTATTTTTACCAGAATTTTGCACATTTGGACCATTTAGTCAAGTGTTCTGGTCCTGGCCAGGGCTCTATTAACTTGTATTCTGCTGAGCACAGTTATTCCCCTTTGCCATTCACCTTTGATAATTAATCAAAGTAAATAATGTATTTGAAAGCTTAATAGAATAAGAGAATTATGCATGAATATTTATTGTATAATACAAAAAGTACTTTCATAGTTTGAATGACTTGGAAATAATAGATGAGACAAAATAACATATCTTTTTAAATGTTCTTCAAAGGCCAAGAGAGGCCAATGTGAGAAGTAATAATATGGGGTTAAAAAATAGACATGGTTTAAGTGATAAATGGGGGGGCGGGCAGATAGATACTAGATCAATCATTTTGTAGATGCTAATCATACAATTTTTCTTGCTTTTGGGCAACAAAGCTTCATTTATCAGTTTATGGATCCTCTAAATTGTTGTATTTTACTCAGGTGACCGTTAAGGCCCTTGGGCCTCTTGTTTCTACTACAAGAATTGGACTGTTCTGTAATGTGTTAAATAATTAGCTCCTGATACAATTATAAGTGCAGAACTCATCCAAATTACTTTCATGCTACACAGAGGGGCCGGTAGCATACTATGTTTGGTTTTACATAATCATGTTATTATACAAAAAGAAAAAGGGAACCAACGTCAGATCATCTTAGATCATATTAGGAAGGAAGCAGGGTATAACAATTATTGCTCGAAGAAATATCTTTCATGGCTCAATATGTATAGATGCTATTAAAGGATCAGATTTGTTTTAAAAATCCATCTGATTAATTAGATTTTGTTTGTTTGTTTGTTGTTTATCGTCCCTCTCGAGATTTTTTCACTCATATGGAGACGCCACCACTATCTATACATAGTGGAAAATCCTCACTTGATTATAATTGTAACAGCATAATTTGCTTCTCGGAGTTCAATATCTGTCACACATGGTCAACGTTACTTTTCGAGGTGACAAACTTTAACATACAAATTGACATGAACTGTGCATCTTTCATACCCTAAACTTTTTCGGCATTTAAATCAAATACTCTGGGTGCATTTTACTTATCTGAAGCATGTTTAAACATTTCAAACATACGATATGAAATTTTCGATAAAATTTCATAGATTTAAAAGAATTGCAAATTTTACGGACTAAATCTGTCATACCAAGTGAGTGACTTAACGGGATTTTTGAATGACAAATTTTCATATCAAAAGAGTCTCTTCTCAGTTAAAATCAGGTAGAAAAAACATCATCTTCGAGGTTGCGCCCCCTGGATAAAAACTTATATACAAAAACGTCAACAATTCATTAAAAAAAACGAAATCTTTGATTTATAGTTTCTTATATAGATGACAAGATGATACTAATTAAATGTTTAAAAATTCATTGATGTACTTTAAGCGGTTTTTATTTTATGGTGCACGTCCACGAACTTTTTTATAACCCTTCGTATCTGATCACATATCCCAAACAAGCTCAGACCCAACTTGCAGCTAAAGGATCAATCAACAGATTCTTACAGGAACACAGTAGTTAGCTTTACTCACAAAATGAGCAGTTTTTGTGTTGTCTGTTTGACTGTTATTTATTTTACGGTGTCTCACGCTTACGTCATTTCGAGAATATACACCTTAAAATTTGGGTTAAATGACAAGACGTCGATCAATGAACTTATAGGAGAATACAAAGTTCGTTCGTTGTGTGAGTGTTCTATGATGTGTCAGAAGAATTGTGGTTTCTTTGGCTACAACCATAAATGGATGAGGTGCCGTATACATAAGAACATCTTCTCGTCTGAAATGTCTGATGAGGCTGGTTGGACGTACTATTCATATAATTGTATGTATTGCTAGTGAAACTTCTTTTCACAGAAAAAAAGAGACAATTTTGATTAAAACAGATCTTGCAACTGATTAAAGAATGTCATATACATGTATGATTGAATAATTCTCTTCCATAGGAAAAAAAGCAGAATCAACGCCGTTACCGTTATCTTTCGAAGGACTTTATAAAATGTTCAAGCAATTTAATCCCATTAAGACAATATTCTTTAACCTGACGCCCTTTGATCCTCAATGTCAAAAATTCAATAAGGTCACACTATACGTTCCTCAAAAATATTTTTTTCCCAAGAATTTGTAATTGCAGTATTGCTCGATAAAAACAAGTTTCCTCCCAAAATTGAGGTACCTTACCAGGCATTTGTGCAAGATACCAGAGGGTGATGTTTTATTTATAATCCTACTGGTGATCTTTGGAATTACATATATTACAGTTTTTGATGTACTTATTTTTAAGACATTAGAAATCACAAAAGAATGACAATCATGAATAATTTGTATATATTACGAAGAGATACAGAACAGGTATTTGAGGAACGTGTCGTAAGACATTAAAGGAACCTTAAATTAATATTTAAACAGAATTTAAGCCATGATAAAGCTATCAAATTACATTTACATGTACACTAATTAAATATTGAAATACAAGCATTTATTTGGTGTTTAAAAATAACAATCAAGTTCAATGAATTGGGGGCTCCCATCTTTCGGCATCTTAGTGGATAAGATGTCAAATATAAACACTCTACCATATGTCATTCAAAAGTTATCACCAAAATTAAAAAGTCAAACATGAAGGTCAAGGTCCACGGGGTCAAAAGTCATAGCATGCTTAAATGTAATACACATGTCAAATATGAAAGCCTTATCTCTTCTCAATCAAATGTTATAAGGAAAAATAACATTTTGAAAAGTAGGTCAAACTTCAAAGTCAAGGACACAGGGTCAAAAATCATAGTGTATTTAGAAAGGCCTTGTCACAGATAGTATACATGTGTAACTCGAAAGCCCTGTCTTTTCTCTTTCAAATCTTTTGACCAATTTAAAGAAACGTTAAATTTCTTGAAAAGAATGTTAAATAAGACTCCTAAAAATTTCAATAAACAAACTCTATATTCCTTATTTTGCTCTGCTCCCGATTTATATTGTTCTAATGGCTTATGAGCTTGATTACTGTTCGTTATCTTCATATTTCTTTTTTTTCAGCTCCTTCCACAGCTCCTTCCACAGATTGTAAAGATCTTCGAGATAATGGTCAGGCTAATTCCGGTGTGTACGAAATTTATCCCTATGGGACGAGCTCCAGACCTGTCAGAGCTTATTGTGATATGGACGCAATGGATGGAGGATGGACGGTATATTATTTTATATGTGAAGCTGATGTATGACACGTACATGGAGAAAAGTTTTGTCAGCATGAAATAAATGAATTACGCTGTCCCTTCCTGTGATTACGTACTGATAAAATGGAATTTACGAGGGTTGTCCATAAAGTTTGTGGATAAAATACTATATTATCTTAATATAGCCCACACTGGGAAATGTGTACGATAATATTTTAATATAGATCATGAACTAGTAAAAATATAAAAATTAAAACAATACACTCTAATTAACGATTGTTATAGGTGTAAATAATTTGTATATGCTGACACACGACCCAGTCTGACGTAAAACTAATTTCATTTTAACGTCAAAGTTGGAATTTTGAATTTTTCACACGTTCATGGACACACGTTACATTTTCTTTATCATGCCTCACTGCCAAGTGCTAGCAATAATATTCATGTGTTGATTATATTTGATTTAATATTTGAAATTAAAAAGAACCCACAATAATTTACGAGCGTCATTAATAGAAACGGTTCGCATACACAGGCTGCTCATCCCAGTCCGACCTTGCGCTAGATATTTTACAACGTCACAAATAGAAATATCTATTTTTCATCACAGGACGTGTGTTTTCCACTTCTTGTAGTGTCTTTGAAAATGTAACCACCTTTGAAATATTGTCTTCACCAATCTCAAATCAATAAAGTAAATATATTCCAATAATTTTGAGTTCTTTGAATAATTTTTTTTTTGTGTCTGACCTTGTTTCAACCATATTAAAACATAATTTTATGATTGGACACTGATTTTTCTGTCAATTTTTAGCACATATTTCTTGGAGTTTTTGTTTAGTATTTTCAGTCTATATAGTAAGCAATACTTAGATAGAGGCTATTTGTGATACATGTAATTTTTGTTAAGCTTTGTCTTGTTTTATATAGAAAAAGATAATTTTAATCCAGACACTTTGTTTTTAAGTTTATTGCGTTTTAAGCTTGGTCCGTGAGTACTATCTGCGACCTCTTCAGACCCCTATTTTTACAAAATATTAAGTTCCACCAATAGAAATTAAACTATTCTGACTTGGATCTTCATAAAAAGGATTTTGATATACAATAATGTATATATAGAACCATTTATTTTGACAGAAATGTCATTGTTCACGAATTTATGGACAACCCTCGTACATGTATCAATCTTTTGGAAATAACTCATAATCAAGCATTATGAAAGTTTTTATATTCTTGCAAATATGACTCAGAAATGATAATCTACCGAAAGTATTTAAGAGAGATTTGCGAGTACCTCCTCACACATATACTACAAATAATCGTCATAATGAGGATTTTATTTGTTATATTTAAAAGGCCATTCAGAAACGAGTTGACGGATCTGTAAGATTTAACAAGAGTTGGACAGAATACAAGAATGGTTTTGGTTCTCCGGAAGGGAATGTCTGGATAGGTAAGAATGAAATTTGATTAAAATTCTAATAATTTTTTTTGTAACATAAGGTTTGAAGTTATTCGAAAATTTGATTTTTAAACAGTAATACATATTTTGCAATATCAAAAGCAATTGAAATGTTAGCCGTATGTTGGAATTGTTATCTCGCAGAACAGTTAAGGTGCCCAATGGATTTGTCGGCGTTTTTTTTTTTTTTTTTTTTTTATAAAATCATTCTAATTCCGGATATCCAGTTGCTGTGGCCTTCAACTGGACATTTAGACATATCGACGATGTATTATAAATAGCTACTTTCATTCATATGTACATTCGATAAATTCCAGTGAACTTGAAATAAAAGATACCATAGAGTCTGACGAATCTGTTTCATATTTGGTTTTCTTCTAGAAAAAATATTAATGGTACATGTAACCTGACAACCAAGATTTATTATAAATGTGATGAGTTCAATGTTTGTCGTCAGCGTCCCTTATTTATGTAGCAATATACCCTTATCACTGGGGCTTTTGTCTCTCAGTTGATTCCATAGGCAAGAGCGCATTCTCTGCATACGATCAATTCTTAAAAAGAGGCAAGCAATTATTCAACAAGTTGATTAAACAAGGATAGCAACAGTCTCGTTTAAAGTCATCATTTCCCAAGTTCTATGGTCAGTAAAATCTATCATTATTGAATGCAGACTGAGGTTTTTCATAGTATTTGTTAGGCCATTATTTAAACACTGAATTGTCTAAGGATTTCGCAGTTTGTCCGATCATGACAATGAGCATACGGCGGGCTTGACCGGTCTACAGTGGATGCTTACTCCTCCATGGATCCTGATTCCACCTTTGATGGTTTTAATGGTCCGTGTTTGCTCTGCTCCCAATTTGTATTGTTTTAAGGGACTTCTGAGCTTGATTACTGTTGTTATCTCCATATGTTATTGAAAACGATACGATTTTCTATTTAGACTTGTCGGATATGATATTACGTGATATTAGCACATATGCTCACAACTAGTTTTGAGGTTACTCTTAAATTTCTGTAGGACAAGGGAATAATCACATTAAAATTCTAACTTTAGTTCATTAATGTTTTCAACACCCCTGGTAGTTTTTGAAAAGTGCTGCAATCCTAGATAGAATATGCTATATCATTGTTAAAATGATATTTGTTTAGCTACATGTTGAACTTTTAGTCGGTGAACTGAATTAAATATATAAAGAAATCATTCATTCTCAGGATTTCACCAGGATCATAACACTTTTCGGATGGCTTAATATTTCTCGAGTTTATGCGTAAAAGTTAACTATGATCAAATGTGTTATGCCCATGCACCAGAAATTTATAAAGACCCTTACATTACCCTTCAGTGTACCTGCATACAAATATACGACAGTAACAGTTAAATAGGAAATGTACCAAAATACATTAATAATAATATTATCAAGCCATTTCTTCTAAAGTAACGGTCTCTTAAATATCTGAATTTTTTGTTATAATTTCGTTGCGAAAATATTACTTATTAATAATCCGCCTCTCACCGCATAAAACATCGTTCTTACGAAAGTTTTACGACAAAACGTCATACTGACAATTTATCACGATTTATGACTTGTTTATACCTTGCTATGTGGGGTTTAACTAACGACAAGTCAGCTTATCAAAATAACTTTTAATGAACTTTAATTTTCTTGTACCGTTTAAAATTACAAATTACAAATCATTTTATTTTGTGGTATTAAAAAAAAATTGTTAAATTTGTGTGCTGTTATTGTAAATATTCCCCATAATCATTAGGTCAGGCCTCCTTATTGTAGCCTAATCTGTGCCGTTTTTTTTCATGAATAAATTTAAAGGAAAATAATAAAAGAGTGATAGAGATATGGAAAACAATCTCTCTGAGTGACATGATCACACTCGATTGGTCTCCCTTATTGCCAATTACTTCTTAAAATATCAACACTAAAAAGTTTCAAAGTATTGTTTATTGATGAAATAGTTAGGAATTCTGTTTATTGCAGTAACCTATCAATTAATATCAAGGATATCTTTCAGGAAATGACGTTATCCATCAGTTAACAAAGGGAAAGAACTCATCCCTCTATGTTTCTATCACACTCTTGAATGGCACGACACTGTATCAGTTGTACGATGGATTCTCTGTTTCCGATGAAGCAGAAAAATACAAACTTTTCCTGACGGGAAGCATCAAGGGGACCTTAGGTATGTGACTTATAAAACCTAATTGTTTGATATCTAAATAAAAAGAGATCTTATCAAGTAAGTGTATTGTTATGATGTATACTCTGTTTAACTTCCATTTTATCTTCATTTAAAGTTACAGTATTTGTATTGTATGATATATGCGTTGTTTTACTTTCGTTTTATCTCTATTTAGGTGACAGTATATGTATTGAGGTATGCCTTGTTTTACTTTCATTTTATTTCTATTTAAGATGACAGTATGTTGGACACACATTATGGTCGTTTGTCTGGGATGTACTTTAGTACATTAGACAGGGATAACGACAATCACATGATAAACTGTGCTCTTCTTCTCGGAGGAGGTTGGTGGTATAACGAATGTCACAAAGCTTTCCTCAACGGGCCCTGGTCCAAAATCAACTGGAAACAGGTCTGGGGTTCCATAATTACAGATGGAAGAGAAGTTAGAGGGACGATGATGCTTATTAAGCGTAATTAAGTACATCATATATTGTCCTGATCAACAAGTAGAGTGTATCCAATCCAATAGGACGTTTACTAGTCGTAGGCTCATGATCCTAACTTAAATATTTCGAAAAGTTTGTGTTAGACCTGCAAATATGTATACTGTTAACATGATAAAAGAGATCGATCACAGTTCCTTACTTTTTTGTTTATATATAGAGAGAGTAATCTAATTTTATCATAAGAATTTTCAGGAGATATACACGTAAATTCACGTTTCTGGTGATCGTTTGTATCGTATAAAGTTATTGAGAAAAAAGCATAGTATTAGTTTATTTTATGAGAGAAAATTTACCTTGAAAATTTCTTCTTCTTTTCAGAAAGAAATGTTCGTTTATTTTCTCTGAATTATATAATCTGTATCAGTGATTTTCTTTGGGGGAAATTTACCCCGTAAATTATTGCTATCATCAAGTTGCAATGTTTGTTTATACTTTGAATAATATATACTGTATCATTGATACCCTTTAGAGGAAAAATTACCCCGTACATACTTGCTATTTTAAGAGTAATGTCTGATTTTTCTAAGAATGACATAAACTGTATCAGTAATATTTTTGAAAGGAAATTTACCCCGTAGAGATTTACTACCTCCAAGATATTGCAAAGCATAAATTATGTATAAATAATATTCTTTGGGTGAAATTTGCCCGTAAAGTCTTGCTATCAAAAAGATAGTTGCTCCTGCTCTGAAAAACTGTATATAAGTTGTGTCAGTGTCATTTTGAGATGAAATTTATCCTGTAGATTCTTGCGATTTTAAAAATGTTTGCGAACCATATATACTGTAACAGTGATTTTCAGAGGGGGGGGGGGTTACCCCGTTAAGGTTTTCTATCATCAAGATGGTTGCTTTTGCTTTCAATCACTGTATATAACCTATTTCAATGTCATTTTTAGAGGAAATTTACCCTGTAGAGTTTTTCAAAGTGTAATGTTTTCTATGAGGAGTGATTACTGTATCAGTGATATTCTTTAGGGGGAAAATTAACCCCGTAAAGTCTTCCTATCTAAAATATGGATGCTTTTGCTTTGAATTAATGTCTGTAAACTGCATCGATATCATTTTTAAGAGGCAATTTACCCTGTAGATTTTTGCTATCTTTAAGATGTTGTGAATCATAAATACTATATCATTTGGGGGGAGGGGGAGGGTTTACTCCGTAAAGTCTTGCTTTATCAAGATGGTTGCTTTTGCATTGAATTACTGTATATAAACTCTATCAATGTCATCTTTGAGAGAACACTTACCGTGTAGAGTTCTGCGATTTTCCAAGTGCAATGTTCGCTTTTTATAAGAGTAGTGAATTCTGTGAAATGTGTGGAGATATGGAACAGTATTCGAGCTCAAATGTGCATTAAACATTACAAAATAGGAGCAGAGGAAACACGGACCTCTAACACATCAGAGGTAGGATCAGGTGCCATGGAGAAATGTGCATCCCCTGCCGACCGTGTGCTCCTTGTCATGATCGGGAAAAAACGGAAAAATCCGTCGACAATTCAGTGTGTAAATAATGGCCTAACAATTTGTATGAAAAACGTCATTGTCATTGTATCGACCATAGAACTTACGAAATGATGACTTTAAACGAGACAGCTGATATTCTTGTTTCATTAACTTGTTTGTCAATAATTTACCTCGTTTTAGAAATTGTACATACGTAGAGCATGCTCTTGCGTATCGAATCAACTGAGAGATATATACCCCGTATGCAGTTGATGAAGGTAAATTGCTGCATAAGTAAGGGAAGTTGACGATTGAAAAGTTAAAGTCATCACGTTTATCATAAAGCTTGGTTGTTAGATTACCATTAACGTCCTTTTCAAGTAAAATATCCAAATATGAAACAGATGTGTCAGATTCTGTGGTATCTTTTATCTTTATTTTAGTGTTTTCTTCTTTTCACGTACAAGATTTTGGACAAATTCTGCTTCATATGAGTACAAAAAAGGTCTGCTAATAACGGGGCGCAATTGGTACCCATGGAAATTCCAATAGATTGTTGGAAGACCTGGTCTCCAAAAACCACATAGATATTGTCAATCAGAAACTCAAGCATCTTTTTAATGTCAACTTCAGAGTACTTGTGTGTACAATCAGAATGTTTTTTAACAAAATAATTTTGCAAATGACCAATGACAAGGTAAGTAAATTTACGAGTTCCATTTTTATTGAAAAAGCAGCTGTCAATGATATCAAAAAGCCTGGACTTTAATTTATCGTGGGGAATGGTTGTGTATAAAGTTGAAAAGTTTTTAAGCTGTTGATTTTGGTAAAATCTTGTGATTTCAAATTTTCCAAAAGTTCCTTGGAATTTTTAAGTATCCACATCTGATTTACACCACTTCTCGAATATATTGTTGCACAGTACTCTTGAAGTTTCTCCTTCACTACTGTTAATATCTTAGTATCTTAGTGAGGAGTAAAGAAAGAGGCTTTGTTGAACATTTACTGAACCCGCTATGTATCTTTGTTTGTAAGTAGGTTTGTAGGTAAACTGTATCAATGTCATTTTTGAGAGACAATTTACCCTGTAGATTTTACTATCTTTAAATTGTTGTGAATCATAAATAGTGTATCAGTGATTTTCTTTTTTTTTTGGGGGGGGGGGTCCATAAAGTCTTGCTATCATCAAGATGGTTTTCTTTGCTTTAAATCACCAGAAATAAACTCAGAAATTTGCGATTTTTCTAAGTGTGATGTGCGTTTTTTCTATGAGTAGTAAATACTTTATCAGTGATATTCTTTGGGGGGAAATTTATCCCGTAAAATCATGCTTTTAGGGAGAGGTTAAGTTTGCTTTTTGCGAATAATAAATACTGTATCAGTGATTTTCTTTTGTAGGAAATTTAGCCCACAGAACCTTGCCATCCTTTTATTGTACATAATGCTGATTTTTCACAATCTTACCAATAAATATCTTATGAAACTGCATTTTTGTTAGGTTTTATCAATACCTAAGGGCAAAAGGCTCGAAACAGAAAAAAAAAATTTCTGTTTTGATTTTGGAATGCGTTTTGTCCATATTTTCTCTTAAATAAATTTGTCAAAAACGTGTGCGAAAATTTAAAATTCTATAATTTTATCCACATTTATCAATTTCATGGTGAATTAAAATAAAGTATCACTTTCTTAAAATAACTCTATTCTGTTTAGATAATACGCACTTGATTTTTTTTTAATGCATTGATGTAAAGAAAAAAGTCAGTGCTTTATAAGCAAGTTGTTATGGTACTAACAAAACCGATGCTATTAACACTTTTTTGTCAGGATAATACATTTCCAATGAAAATATTATGCTTTGCATACGTAGGACAGTCCTAGTGCAATTTTGCTTTTCTCTGCAGTTTGTGCATAATACGTTAAAAAAAGGTGTAAAATGTTCTAAATATAGACATCCTAAACAGGATTATGACTGGGCGAATTTAACACGGAGAAGATTTGTTTCCAAGTGAGAATGGGCGAAAATAGTCCTGTATACAAAATCTATCATATCACAATCCTTGATTTATTGGGAGATTCTTAGGGGTAAACCGAATACATCAGGATAATTATACTATCTATCACATCACATACTTTGGTTTATTGGGAATTTTTTAGGTGAACGGTATACATCCGGGTAATTATACTATCTATCACATCACGCCACTTGAGTTCTTGGGAGGTTTTAGGGGTAAACCCTACACATCAAGGTGATTATACTATCTATCACATCACATATCTTGGTTTATTGGGAGTTTTTAGGTTAACCGTATACATCCGGGTAATCATACTATCTATCACATCAGATTCCTTAATTTCTTGGGAGGTTTTTAGGGTAAACCGTATACATCCGGGTAATTTTAATATCTATCACAGGAGACACCTTGATTTTTGGGAGGTTTTTAGGGATAAACCGTAAACATCCGAGTAATTATACTATCTATCATATCACAATCCTTGATTAATTGGGAGGATTTTGGTGGTAAATCGTGTACATCCGGGTAATAATACGATCTATCCCATCAAATACCTCGATTTCTTGGGAGGTTTTTAGGTTAACCTCGTACATGCGGGTAATTATATTATCTATCACATCACAGCACTTGATTTCTTGGGAGATTTTTAGGTAAACCCTATTCATCAGGGTAATTTTACTATCTATCACATCACATACCTTGATTTCTTGGGAGGGTTTTAGGTTAACCGTGTACATCTGGGTAATTATACAGTCTATCACATCACATACATTGATTTCTTGAAAATTCTTTAGGGATAAACCGCCTACAACCGGATAATTAAATACTCCTTCATCACATCATAATATTACCTTAAGAAACGTTTTTTAACCTTATATTATGATATTCTATTAATTTTCCCTAATTTGTAACTGGGTAGAAGTAAGAACTGCTTTTCATCCATATAAATGTGTAAACTCCTTATTTTTTCTTTCTTTCTTTCTTTTTTTCTTTTTTTTTTTTTGCAGTCTGCAAATTTAAATTTAAGAATTTTTAGTTTACTAGCTTCATTGAAATCTGGAAACAAAAATTATTGCAGTGTATGAAGTTTGTAATTTCTCAATCGTTTTTCCATTTAAAAGACCTTGATTATGGTTTCAAGCACCATCCAACGATATTTATTTTCATCTGTTCTTCAAATTGAATTCTAGTTATACCTAGGTTGGCTTATGCTTACATGTATCAGAAAATTGTCTTTCTTACTACGTCGCAAATGGATACTTTCCCTTTGAATGCTTGTTGGTTTAAGATACATAAGTTAAATTTTATCCTTTTATAAGTTTTTGAAGGGTATGGGTGTAGTAGAACAACAAATCATATAAATGGAGCTTAGAACGTTTATATGTTATGACACCGATATCGGCATTTCAGTGATGAAATTATTTTCTTTCCTTCTTCTGCAAAAGTTGATCTCAATGGCTCTTTTGCATTCAGTGCCAATGTTTTGACATTTGACGGCAATGAAAGACTAATTTTGATATTTGGACACCTGTGACGTATCAGAACTGGAATACAAACGACGAGGGTGAGACGGCAGTTGACCCTATCTTTGGCCTCCTTTTGACTTATCATAACGACGGTAGGTGGCGCTGGGTTGCTGAGAGGAAATAGACCTACTATACAGGAGAAGACGGACTAAAACTTCCCTTTATTTGTGAGGATTCTCCGTTTTATTTGGAGCCGGAAGAGTGTTCTATTACGAAATGTTTCATTTTTTTTAAATGAAAATAAATTTTAACGACCATTTTATCTTTATCATTGAAAAAATGGTAATGTCAGACTAGTGATTAAAAAAATGTAAATAACTGAATGGAATCTTTTAAATTTTATATAATATATTTGTCTTCTCGGAAGACATTTGTCCTCAAGTTTTTAATAAAGTACGGTTAGCATGTAGAGAGAATGCAATTGTGGCGTCTCGTTATCTTTGCACTTCTTCAGGAAAACTTACATTCAGATCTCTTCTTTCCATACGTAGGAAATAAAACCTAAACCCAAGTGTTATTAGAAATTTTTTATGCACCCGTAATCGAAGATTCGTGGACATATATATTTTGCTCTAACCGTCCATCTGTCTTTCTGTCTGTCTGTTGGTCAGTTTATCTGTTTGTCTGTTAGTCCGTTAAAGAAAATCTTTAACCTTACCCATAATTTTTGATTGGTTACAGAATGGCTTTCATTCCTTTCATGTGTATTCCATGCGAAAAGACCTTTCCTAGGGTGTAAATATTATTGAAATTTTGAACTTGATCTTGGAGTTTGACACACTTTTTAAAAAAATTACCAAATTTTAATCTTGGCCATATCTATTGAACGGTTAAATCAGGTACATGTAATTGCATGCTCCAGGTGTTCATTTCTTAAGACAAGACCTCTTCTTAGGTACCAACAATGTTGACCATTTGACCTTGACCTTATGAGTTTGACCTACTTTTGAAAAACGTAAACCTTGACCGTAATTTCTGAATGGTTAGTGCTAGGGCTGCCATATTTCACCGCTTTATTTCTGGTGACAAGAGCTTTTCTTGAATACCGACATTTTTACCTTTTGATCTTGACCTCAGACTTTGACCTACTTTTAAAATCTTCGGTCATAACTTCTTAATGGCTGATTCTAAAACTTTATATATTTTACCTGTGTATTTCTTCTGAAATTTATTCCTTTACTATTTGTTTTGGTCCTTTGTACTTACTTTTGAAAATCTTTAATTTTTGGCCATAATTATTGAACTGTTGGTGCTTTTATAGCCTTTAGATACTAAGGGTAAACTTATTGTGACAAGACCATTTTTTGAGTACAAACAATGATGATCTCTTGACCTTGACCCTAGAGTTTGACTTGCGAATGACAACCTTCGCCATAAGCGGCCATACGAAGGCATCATTGTTTCCCCGAAACATCTTGTTGTTTTAACATCAGCTTCTAAAACTTTTTTTCTTTATTGGATTTCAAGTACCAAACTGCAGTCTATAATTTTTTTGGTAATATGTATCATAGTCCATACACCGCATAATTGAGAATGAATTGTCTTAACGCACACTTAAGCATTGAATCATTTTTTTTTAAAAGATGGTGTCTCATTATATTAACTGTGCGTGCAATCAAATTGAGAAACGCGCGCTACCGCATTATGAATATTTGTTTGCACTAATTAGATTCGAGACTACATCTTTTAAAAAATAATGATCTAACGCTTATATATACTCTTTTTTACTCCTTGCCTTTCTTCATTTTTTTTTTAAATATTTGTATTATCCCTTGGGTAAATTACAATTAATAGAAATAACTTGAATTTTGATTTTCGATGATGACATTGTACTTGTACGGCTTTGACATTTTCTGACGTCAAAATAGAATGCATACTATAACATTTTGCACCCCCGTCTTTGTTATTGTGTTTTGAATGCGTAGCTACCAACGCATTTTACAAGCAAAATAATTGTGAAATGAAAAAATAACATAAATTACAGTGTCGATATAAGTCTTCGATGATGGATTTTGTACATTCAAACTCTAATTTCTATTCTTTTTAAATGATTATCTGTAGCAATAAAAGATATTTATCTTCAGAAAATGTTATGTTTTGACTTTAACCTCAGAATATACCCTTGCTAAAAAAAGTTAGACCTGTCAGACGTACGAACCTGGCATCATTGCGTTTCTTGCCAGAAAAATTTAAGCCAAATAAATATATTAATGTTATAATTCAAATTGTTGAAAGAAATATGAAGTACATCTGAGGTCAAATATTTAGCTCATTTTTTCCATAAAATAAAAATGGAACAAGAGCATCCAATTGCGCAATTATTTTGAAGTATATAAAGCATATTAAGTATATAATGGATTATGTCTGCTCATCCATTCAAAATACGGCATGCATGGAAAAAATTGGGGATATCTCTTCAATACATGTACATGGTCTTCAAATTTAACTAATTATGATTAGGCTATAAAATATCTTGAAAATACAATGAAACCTGTTTTATCCGACATGCACTGGGAGAAAATGAACATGATGTAAGTTGCACATTGAAAAGATAATAGAAATTAGTAGAAATGAGAATGAAATTCAATGTCGAAATTTACAGGTTGTACAGGTGTCGATCGGAGAAAACAGTTTCCACTGTAATACGTTTAATAAAAGAGCAATCTTTATCCCAATTATCCGTCCAGGAATCTTCATGTGGCAATGTTCGTAAATAAGAACGAAATATTTCTAATTCCAATTTATTGCAACACATATTATGTCCAGTTTTAACTGGGTATATTCGGTAAGGAAAATTAATAAAACATTATTGCTTCAGCAAATAGTTCAACCACAAAACCTCCACAAAACACAATCCTTTACCAGTTTTCTCTCTTAATATATAATATTACTTAAAGAAAAGGAATAAATAGAATCCCATGATAAATTTAAAATTGTCTCTTTTATCAGAAATGTTTCATCTGACTAATTGGTTTTCCTCGTTAATTTGAAGCCTGGTCTCTCAATTTTGAATGTTCATCTACTGAAAAAAATAAAAGTATTAAATAATGTTTAAGAAAAATAAAAGGGTATTTTTTATGAAAAAAAAAATTAAGTAATGTTTTATATAAAAAAAAAAATAAAAGAATTAAATAATGTTTTAGGAAAATAAAAGGGCATGTTTTATACCTCGTACGAATTTTCTAATAACCGTTTAAAATGTTCAAGGAAATATCAGTATATCAAATACGGGTTTTTAATATTTAGTGTTGTTTTACCTAGTGACGTTTGATCATCATCATGGTCTCCCTGATAGTTGATCCACTCTCTACTGTAGGATACCATGGATACACCCACTCTCCCGGGGACCACTGACCGTTAAGGAAGGCGTAGCGACAGGCGTTAAACCACCACCCTCCTCTATAGTAACTGTCAGCAGCGCAGTTAACATGATTCCTGTCGTTATCCCTGTCTGGTGTACTGAATGACATCCCAGACAGATTAAAGTAAGAATAACCAGTGTTTAACATGCTGTCACCTGTAGAGAAAATACATCACAGAGATCATTGATTGATTTAAGCATTGAATCATTTTTTTATGTAAGAGATTGTCTCATAACTGCAACGGTGAGTGCAAATAAAATATGCTAGCTACAAAAAAATCAGCATAATTTTCTTTTGTTTTAAAAGATTAAATTTAAAATTTCCAATTACATAGCGATGAGAAATTCAACTAGTTATAATTGTAACGGGGACCGTTACAGATGTTCCCCAAACGCTCCCCAACTCCCTTATGGTGTCTTATTTCCTGTAAGCTTCATTAAATAAGGCAATGAAGTATATTGGTCGTTTTTTGCATTTCACGCGCGCGCACGTGCATGCATGTGCAGTATGACCATCTCATCCCGTCTATACTATTAATGTATCTTTATATTCTCTGTATCAAAACATTTCATCAAAAATATATAAGTTCCGGCTATATCAAGTATACTCGTCATCTTAGCATTACGCGCACACGCACCTGCATGCATGTTCATTATGACCATGCCATCTTGTCTACACTTATAATACGTCTGTTTATTCTTAGTATCAAAGCTTTTCATCAAAAAATATATAAGTTACGGCTATATTAAGTATATAAATCATTTAACACATTGCACGCGCGCGCATGTGCATGATGTCCACATCATCTTGTCTACACTTGTAATATATCTGTATATTCTTAACATCAAAGCTTTTCATCAAAAAATATAAAAATTACGACTATATTAAATATATTGGTCATTTAACACATTGCACGCGCGCGCACGTGCATGCATGTGCATGCATGTGCATGATGACCATGTCATCTTGTCTACACTTTTAATATATATAAATATTTTAAGTATCAAATCATTTCATCAAAAAATATAAAAGTTACGACTATATCAAGTAAATTGGTCATTTTACGATTTGCGCGTGCGCGCACGTGCATGCATGTGCATGTTGACCATGTTATCTTGTCTACACTTTTAATATATCCTTGTATTCTGAGTATCAAAGCATTTCATCAAAAAATATAAAAGTTACAGCTATATCATGTATATTGGTCATTTTACGCATTGCACGCGCACGCACGTGCGCGCAAAATGACCTTCGTTCCGCAAATCTACATAACATACCTAGTAACCCTAAAAAGGTTTTAACTCAATTGGATATGCAGTTTCTGAGAACACTCGCGGACAAAAAAGTACCGGAGAAGAAATAAGAATAAAAAAGAATAATAAAAATAACTAGAAACTAGTTGCCATGGCAACAAGAAGGTCTTCCGTCCCTTCTACGTCATGAGAGAAGTTGATTCCTCACTCATAACACTATCTGTATTACTTTGTGCATTCCTTTTAACTCCTTCAGACGAGGGGTGATCAAAAAGTTCGCGAACTAATTGAATAACTTCCATAAAAGAAATGAAATTAGATTTTAGTGTTCATTAATTTTTAAATTGGTCCTCTCCGATTTAAATGTGCATCTGCCACCGTTTTGCCCATGCGTGAATCACGTGATACAGGCGGTCACGTGACATGCTCTGAAGCGTTCTGTTCACAGAAGCTAAAAGATTTTTCCGAGTCTAATATTTCTTACCATACAAGTTATTTTTTACTACAATAACAGTCCATTTGTCAGAAATGGCCAAACCTTGGCAATAGGATGGATAAGGAAATTTTTTCCTAGAATGAGCATAGTGACCATCACAATCTGAGTCCTCTGTCTTGGGAGCGTCGTTTTTCCAGTGTAAATAAAGTACGGTCGCCTTCTTTCTATTATATCTTATATGTTTAAAGTCTAAAGTAAACAATATTTTAAGGATTTAATAATTATATTATTGTTAAGATATTTAAGTATTTTTCTAACTGTAACTTAATGAGCTTTCATAACAAATTGCTCAACTAAGGACACATCTCTTCCCCCAGCTTGCTTTCATGGGGCAACAGAATAAACATAATTTTTAACCATCTCCCTTCCTTCATTAAAACAATCAATCTAATTAATGATTGAACTTCTGGCAAGTCTTTTGTCTTTATAAACCTTGTACAAATTATTATATGCTACTGCAAAGGAATTTCCAAGATACTAATTAAACTTTACAGCCATTCGTTGCTCGAGTACGACTGAGTCAATCATTTTTTGTCACAAGTCACCTACATATTGCCGTCATTTTCACATTGTGACGTCACAAACATGGAGCAAACAATACATAACATCTGCTATTTATAGAACATGTGTATGACTATATGTCTGCTAAATTTCATTCCGATCTGAATTGTGGTTTTCTAAATATAGAGATAGTTCGCGAACTTTTTGATCACCCCTCGTACATGAAGTACTATAAAACGTAAATTGTAAAATATATCGCGTAATTCGAACAGAAAATTATACCAGATATCATTTCAAAGATACAGTATTATATATCATCTGAAAAAAGGTACAAAAAAATCCAGACATTCTGGGGATTGAGTCCAGGTCGCCCGCGTGAAAATTGAACACGCTAACCATTACGCTAGTGGGACCATTTCTTGTAAGAGTCTCTATTATCCCTAGTAAAATCATTAAAAAATATTGAGAGACAAAAAAGTTGAAAAATTCGACTTTTTTAATTCGCTTCTGGTAGCGACCGGAACTATTAACGATGCACAAAAAGGCAATTCCGCAAATTTAGAAGTCATGTTCTATCATCTCTAATAAGTCTACAGTTCATATCTTTAGCCGTTCTTTAGAAATGCTGCGGAAAAAAAGTTTGTTTAAAAATCAGGATATTGCCCATAACATAGAACCGGAAGGGAATTTTCCAAAATTCTTTCAAATGTAACAATGGCTTTTTAAAACGCATTATCCCTGAAAGTTTGACGAAAAACCACAGAATAGTTCTTGAGATATGGCGTGCATATTTGTCTTTAAAAATATTAATAATAATTAAAATATTTATTATCAATTTTCAAACTAATTATATATTATGCATTCTGAAAAGAATCTCTATTAACCCTACTAATATCATCAAAATATATTGAAAAACAAAAAAGTTTAAAAATTCCACTTTTTAAATTCGCTTCCAGTAGCGACCGGAAGTAGTGACGACGCACGAAAAGGCGATTCTGGTAATCTAGAAGACATGTTCTATAATCTCTGATAAGTCTCCAGTTCATACCTTTAGTCGTATTTTAGGTTTGCCACGGACAACATTCCATTTAAAAATCAGGAATTTGCCCATAATTTGGAACCGGAAGTGAATTTTCCAAATTTTACTTGTGATGAAAAAAGTTCATATAATAACTCACTTTTTGTGAAAGTTTCATTGAAAACTACTGAATAGTTTTTGAGAAATCGCGTGCACAAAATTTTGGTCAAAAAAAAGAATAATAATAAGAAACAGTAGAATCACTATAAGGTCTTCCGTGAAGACGGAAGACCTTAACTAGAAACTCATTGCGAGCAATGAGAGGTCTTCTGTCCGATTTTGAAAGTAAAAACGTAAATTTAAGCTGAAAAGGTGATAAAAGAAATTCAGACACTTTGGAGATTTAACCCTGGTTGTCAGGGTGAAAATCCAACGTGCTAACCATTAACCATTCACTTTTTTGCATCACTTCCTGTCACGACCAGAAGTAACGGCGAACTAGATTTCCTCGCGATTCAAATAAACTGATGAATGACTATCAGTTCTGAAAGTTTTAGACTTCAGTCGTTTACTGTTGCCGAGCAATTTCTAATTCTGAGGACAGGTAAACACGCGACCGGAAGTGAATTTTATAAAAAAATCTCTGACGTTTTTCTATACATTTGCAGTATCTACAAAATGCATAAAAACATTTCAAGTACTTTATCGATAAGCAATATTTATGAGAAGGTTAAATATCGAAGTAACGTAGCTTATCACCTAAAACCGGAAGTTGACGTTTTTGTTTCCGGTGAAATCTGACATGTTTCAAAACAGCGAAAGAGATGCAATAAAGTGATGCAAACTTTAATTTAAAAAAGAAAAGTTAATTTTTTTGATTTCTTTGATCACTTCCTGTGACGACCGGAAGTTACGACGGACGCGTTTAACCAAAATGGTTTTGCCTACTCCTCAAGGTCTGCTACTCATAAGAATTTGGTGTTTTAATCTTTTACCTGTTTTTTTAGATCTCGCTCAGACAATTTTTCATTTTGAGGACAGAAAAACACGCGACCGGAAGTGAATTTCTGAAAGATATTTAAGTTTACTCTAGACCTTTGCAGTCTGAATAACATATTTAAAATTCATTTCAAATACTTATCTATAAAGAATATTTATAGCAAAGTAAAATACTCAAATTTTGTAGTTTTTCTCTTATAACCGGAAGTTGTCGTTTTTGTTTCCGGTGGGACCAACATCTTTCAAATCTGCGAAAAAGATGCAATAAAGTGATGCAATCTTTAAATAAAAAAAGAAAAGTTGAAATTTTCGATTTCTTTGATCACTTCCTGTGACGACCGGAAGTGACGGCTGACGCTCTGAACCCAAATGGTTTTTGCTACATCTTAAGGTCTGTTGCTCATATAAGTCTGGTGTCTTAATCTCTTACCGTTTCCGAGATCTTGCTCAGACAACTTCTCATTTTGAGGACAGAAAAACACGCGACCGGAAGTGAATTTTTGAAAGATATTTGAGGTTACTCTAGACATTAGCTGTCTGAATAACATGTTTAAAATTTATTTCCAAATACTTTATATACAATAGATATTAATGGGAAAGGAAAATACTCAAATTATGTCGTTTTTCTCTTATAACCGGAAGTTGACGTTTTTGTTTCCGGTGGGACCAACATATTTCAAAACTACAAAAGAGATGCAATAAAATGATGTTAGAATTGATTTAACAAAGAAAAGTTGAAATTTAACGATTTCTTTGATCACTTCCGTAAGCGACCGGAAGTGCCGACGACGAACAAAAAGGTGCCCTCTCCAATCTAAAAGTCAAGTTCTATCATCTCTAACAAGTCTCCAGTTAATATCTTAAGCCATTCTCGAGAACACTCGCGGACAAAATTGCATTTTAAAATCAGAAAATTGTCCATAACTTGGCACTGGAACCGAATTTACCAAAAAGCGGAATTTTATATAAAATTCATATAAAGACCTTTTATCCCTGAAAATTTCAAGGAAATTCATTGAATAGTTTTCGAGAAATCGCGTGCACAAAATTTTGTCTAAAAAAAAGAATAATAATAATAAGAAGAAGAAGAAGAAGAAGAAACAATAGAATCACTATAAGGTCTTCCGTGGAGACGGAAGACCTTAACTAGATGCGTGCTTGTTGCTAAGGCAACAAGTGGTCTTCCGACCGACTTTTTGCTGAAAAAAAAATGCTACAATACCTCAATGGAAACATAACGTCAAGTTTTCTTATGTATTCAAATACATCAGGTTTTCAAAAATAAACCATCATTACTACAAGTTTTTTCAATAAGGTTCGTAAAAACAAACCTTTAAAACATCAGTGAAAAGTACGAAAAAGAAATGTCGTTTTTAATTGAAAAAAGAGGGAAGAAACGAAAAAAATTTTGCCGCCAGTTTGAATCAGCCATATCATGTCATCATAGAAGTTGACTCATTACTCAAAAGGTAACAGTTTTTCTTTATGTATTCTCGGTATCTGAAGCTGTATTCCTATATGAAATGTAATAAAATGTTACATTGATCAAATATCACAAAATTCGAAGAGAATAGATACTAGACATCATTTTGAAGATAAAATTCATATTTAAGCTGAAAATAGTAAATTAGTATAGACATTCTGGGGATTATACCGGGGTCGCCTGCTTGAAAATCCAACATGCTAACCAACGCGCTAGCAAGGACCACCGCTTCGAAGTGAAATATGACGAATATCTAGAGTATGAGTTGATCAATCGAAAAACAAATTATATATTTATTCTTCTAATAAGATTCTTTATTAACCAAGTAAATTTCATAGAAAAACTTTGAAGAACAAAAAAGTTGAAAAATTGTACTTTTTGAATTCACTTCCGTTCGCGACCGGAAGTAGAACCGCCGAAAAATAAAGGTCGATCAGCATATTTACATGCGATGCTCTATCACGTCCGTGAGTTTCACTTTCATATCTTCAGCCGTTCTCGAGAAAATTAACGGACAAAATTCCATTTAAAAAATACAAATTTCCCCAAAAATCGCGAACGGAAGTGAATTTTAAAAAAGTGAGGGACACCCCTGGAGATATTTTCATGATGCATCTTCCCTGAAAAAATCTTTCAAATTGAACTACGCACAGCTGAGATATCGCCTGTACTATGAAAAGTGGAATAATAATAACTAGATGCGTTTCTTGTTGCTTGGGCAACAAGTGGTCTTCCGACCGAACTTTTCCCTAGAACGCTATGCTATCTCACTTCATTTTATACTTTATTGCAAGTATTTTTCGTTTGCGTTTATGTAACACAGTCTTCAACATAGATCATAATTATTAAAGGATTTCTGTAGAATCTCTGTTAACAAAGCTTTTAAAAATAAGCAAAAACTATCATACATGTCTTCACGGAGAAAAATATTATTTACAACTGAAAAAAAAGAGAAACAATCTCCCGCTCCAGCAGGATTCGAACCCGCAACATACGAGAAAGTTTGGATCGGTCATATCTTTGCAATAAATGCATCAATCAAAATGATGAAAACATACATAGAATTCTTAGAAGACTCTCTATTAACCCTGTAAATTTCAAAGAAAAATATTGAAAAACAAAAAAGTTGCAAATTTAACATTTTTGAATTCACCTCCGTTCGCGACCGGAAGTATAAACGACGAAATATAAAGGTCGATCAGCATATCTATATGTGATGCTCTATCATGTCCGTGAGTTTCACTTTTATATCTTTAGCCGTTCTCGAGAAAATTAGGGGACAAAATTCCATTTAAAAAATACAAATTTCCCCAAAAATCGCGAATTGAAGTAAATTTTAAAAAAGTGAGGGACACCCCTGGAGATATTTTCATGATGCATCTTCCCTGAAAAAATCTTTAGAATTGAATCACGCACAGCTGAGATATCGCCTGTACTATGAAAAGTGGAATAATAATAATAACTAGATGCGTTTCTTGTTGCTAGGGCAACAAGTGGTCTTCCGACCGAACTTTTCTCCAGAACGCTATGCTATCTCACTTTATTTAATACTTTATTGAAGGTATTTTTCGTTTGCGTTTATGTAACACAGTCTTTCAACATAGATCATAATTATTAAAGGATTTCTGTAGAATCTCTGTTAACAAAGCTTTAAAAAATAAGCAAAAACTATCATACATGTCTTCACGGAGAAAAATATTATTTATAACTGAAAAAAGAGAGAAACAATCTCCCGCCCCAGCAGGATTCGAACCCGCAACATACGAGAAAGTTTGGACCGCCATATCTTTGCAATAAATGCATCAATCAAAATGATGAAACCATACATAGAATTCTTGGAAGACTTTCTATTAACCCTGTAAATATCAAAGAAAAATATTGAAAAACAAAAAAGTTGCAAATTTAACATTTTTGAATTCACTTCCGTTCGCGACCGGAAGTCCGAACGACGAAAAATGAAGGTCGATCACCATATCTCCATTTGATGCTCTATCACGTCAGTGAGTATCAATTTCATATCTTTAGCCGTTCTCGACAAAATTCTATTTAAAAAAAACAAATTTCCCCAAAAATCGCGAAAGGAAGTGATTTTTCAAAAAATGAAAAACACGTCTGGAGATATTCTCACGATGCATCTTCCCTGAAAAAATCTTTGAAATCCGTCCACTCACAGCTGAGATATCGGCCGTACTATGAAAAAAGAATAATAATAATAATAATAATAATAGAAAACAGACGGAAAACAATAAGGTCTTCCGAAGGAAGTCGGAAGACTTTAATAATAATAAGAAGAAGAAGAAACCGAGTAAAAACAATATGTTCCCAAACTTCGTTTGGGGAACATAATTACCGCGGAATTCGTGAATTATATCTACAAATTATATCGTGAAATATTAAATTAAAGACGTTTACGGAATATTAGAAAAAATGTATCTTTCTTTTTTTTTCAACAACTTAATAGTCTTTCTATGCATAGAAGTATGTAATTGTATACTTGAGTCGTAAGCAATTTTAAGAACTTAGTTTAAATACACGTACCTAAAGTTCCCGTGGCAGGTCCTGCTAGAAAGAGTTGATATTTCTCTGTTTCATTGGAGACCGAGAATCTATCGTACATTTCATACAGCCTTGTACCATTCTGGAGAGTGATGGACACATAAAGGAATGAGTTGTTTTCCTTTGTTAACTGATGTATTACGTTATTTCCTGTATTAAGATATATTTGAAATCAACCACAAGGCCCATTGCAATGCAATAATTCTATTTTAAATATGAATACACATTAATGAAAAATCAAATTATTTTATTAAGCTGCTAATTTTGGTCTCATTAAGGCGATGTATTTTTTACACCTCGTTTTCATTATTTTATCATTATAAGATATCAATTAAGTACGATAAGTGAATATCGTCGTAACATATTATCCAGTCTTCAAAACCAGATCTTTCTTTGATACGCTTCCATTTTTTTATCATTTATTTTATGAAGAAATTTTGTCAAATCCAGAAGCGATTTACACTTACCAACCCATACATTCTGTTCCGGTGAACCAAAACCATTCTTATATTCCGTCCAGGACCTGTCAAAACTCAGGGATCCGTCTACACGTTTTTGGATTGCCTTTAAAAGTTTGCATGTATAACAATACATATCATTGTTATTAACAATTGCATGATCAATATGTAATGATGTATACTCACATATTCATATTTTACTATTCTATATTCTTTTGAACAACAAAAACACAGAGCGAGAATGATGTAATGTACGCTAATTTTGAAATAAACAACATACCGTCCATCCTCCGTCCATTGTCTCCATGTCGCAGTAAACAGTGAGAGGACTGGTAATGGTTCCATAGGGAAAGATTTCATACACTCCTGAATTTGTGTGACCATCTGCTCGAAGATCCTTACAATCTATGGGAATAACTAAGGCAGAATTTTTTTAACAATCTATAGGAATAACTAAGACAAAAAAAATTACAATCTACAAGAATAAATAAAAAAAAAATAATAATACTGGAATCATGTATTGAGAGGATACATTATGCCTGAAAGACAAATTAAGGTTAATTGCTAAAGTTAAGTTGTGAACTACAATGTAGACTTTATTCAGCTGCTCCTTATTACCTAAAATGATTTTCGTTTAATAAATTCTATTCTATAATTTCATTATAAAAAATACCGAGCGATAGAGAATGCTTCGTAGTCCAGGGCGCAGGGTTCCAATCTCAGCTTTCAGAACAGTTACTAGCTTGAAGTGCATCCTTGTTTATCTTTTGGTCATTTACAAACAACAATTTTGTGATGGTTGAGAATGAATGACACAATTTTATTAAGCTTGAAATGAATTTCATTTCTGTATTGTCACAGTGTAAGCTTTGATCTTTTTTCAGTAGTATTTCCTTCACAGTAAAACTGCATTTTTTTTTTATCGAAGATAATACTAACAGGAAGAAAACAAAATAGACAAAAATATAATTACTTCAATTTCAAATTCAGTTTTCATTCGAAATAAAAGTAATTAGAAAAAATAAGTAAGGAGAGAGGACTATTTATTAGAATAAATAATGTTGAGCGATAAAAACTAATGATGTTTATGTGATTTGTGGCAAACGAGGAACAATTATACGTACAGTCATGAGAGTAGTATCTCCAACCGCCCTCATTAGACATCCCCGACGTGAAAATCTTTTTGTGGTTTCGACATTTCTTCATCTGAGGATTAAATCCATAGAAACTACACTCCCTTTGACAGCGCGCTGCACATTCTCTCACCGATGCAGAATTGAATTCTCCTAAAAGTTCTTCATTTGATTTCTTATTATCCATTTCCAGCTTTGCAGTAAATTTCCGCGAAATAGTGGTAGAGTGAGACACCGCAAAGAAGACAAAAAATAAGAAGTTAGCCCAAAGAGCGCACATATCGTAATTTGTTTTTAAAACTACCTGCTGCGTGCCTGTACGAATTTGTAATATGGTATACCAAACACTAAATATAAATATCTAAGCATATATCAGTTACTGAAAAGTGATTGGCTAACTCTTACAAACTCTGTTTGTTTCAATCATTGAAATATTGATTTGTGGGAATCTGATATGAATTATAATAAATGTTTACTTTGCAATGTTCAAGTGCTTTAACTTTTATTTATGCTTTAAAGCCTTAAAAAGTTGTCAGCAACATCTTTTCATGAGAATTAGTTAAAATTTGAAAATGTCAATTTTAAAAGAGGTGAAGTTAACAAACGGTGGTCGATCTAAAAAATGCTTAAACAATACAAACCTGTATACAGGGCATAGAACATTGACCCCTGGATACTTATTATTTAGAATCAGGTGCTTAGCAGGAGTAAACATGCCCTGTTGTCCGGTCAAAGCCTCCTTTATTGATAGGTTAGACTAGAGGATAGTCAAATTTTATACTAAAAAAAGCGTACCATTGATATGAAAGACTACCAAATGATAGGTTGTTTTTTCTTACTAGGTCCAATGACCAAAGAATTTATCAAATGTAAATCTTTTCTGTCAGACTTCTTTGTGATGTTCAAAATTCTTGTTACTTTTTTTTTAATAATTCAATGTCTTTGGTTTTTTTTTTTTTCATTTTTAGCTTTCAAATTTATTTTTAGATTTACGGGATAATCTATCAAGCTCTTTTCATAGAAATACTATTGGAGTAATTTTTTGTGGCGTATTTGTTCATTAAATTAAAAATTATGTACATTTGTTTATTCTATAATTTTTTTTTAAATACTGATTTCAAGTTTTTGTAGCATTGAACTTTAATAAGAACTTTAAAGCATAAGACTTTTTAAAATGTTAAAAATAAGGGGTTTCTACAAATTGTACCATATATATATATTAAAAATTGAATACCGCGGAGCTTAATTTACTGTATATTTATTCTATTATAAGAAATACATGCGCGCAAAAAATAAAAATCATTTAGACATTTAAGGTGAAGAAATCCTCCATAGAAATAGATAGTGTACGCATCATTTGATTAACAAGATATTTAGAGGGGATAACCTGAAATATATATGCAGTTAAACCTCGTTATCTCGATGGGACTTGTTCCTATCCTTAAGATATATTACTACAAAATACAACAATACATCTGTTGACACTAACTCCGAGAACTTTCGGAAAATTTGGTCTATTTCAATTTTGTTGGATTTGATACTTTTTCCGGCATTCTAAATGATTGACTTTCTAAACTGATCCTTACCTGTTTTTTGTTCCTTATTACAGATATGACAGATACAAATTCCATCATTTTGAATGATAAACTAATAGGTATGACAGATTAATCAATTCCACACAATCTTCCAGTCTCAACTGGGACAATTATTTGTTGTTCTATATGGAATTCGGATAGGGCCAAATAGTTAACTACTGCATCATCGTTCTAAAATAAGAAATATACTAGGGTTAGAATTTTTTAGAAACTCACTTCGACATATCCATGGTATTGGAGATATCCGTGTTCAAGATACTAAAGTTTAAGTGTGGTTTTCTTTAAAAAGTCCATTTTTAGTGAGGCAAAATACTTCCATGTTTTTTTCTCTGTCAAAATAATGGGTTAATCCTGCCAAAGATTATACATCTATTTTTATTTTCGATAATCGACGCAAACGTTAGAATCCTTCAATATTGCTTGAATCTAAACTGATAATATTTATGAAGATCCCCTTTAGAGAAAACAGAAAAATGTCGAAAAGTATATATGATATGTTGATTTCAGTAATTTTTTTTCATTTACATTTAAGAACATTTTTTTAGAGGCAGGATAAATTATGATGTTTAACTAGGAAAAACTTTGTAACATTGTTAAAATAAATTTTGCGTGGAACGTATACACAGAGTCATAGAAAACTCTCTTTTAATGAATTAATGCAGTTCATATGACATTTCGCATTGACCCTCAGTTCACAAAGTTAGGTGCCCTTTATCCCCTTATCCTAATAACATGCCTAGTTTGCATATTTTTACTTGTCAGTCGCCCTAGAATGACGTCACAAAAACTTCTTGAAGGGTTTGAATTTAAGTTATACACATTTTATAACCAAATAAATCAAGGAAACAATGAGAACTAAATATATACAAAATTAAATAAAAGTAAATTTATGCAAAAACAAAACAAACAAAAAACAAGAAACAAATTAAAATAAAATAAATGAAATGTTGAACTGTTTATAAAATTCAGAATCTTGTTCAGAATTTCATTTTTCCCTTTGGTGTATTTTTCACATATAAGACCAGAGATAAATTTTGAAAAAAAAATCACTTTTTTAAACTCTCACAATGCCTTTATGGTAGGGTTTTGTCTTGGAATTAAACAATGAATTTCAATGATAAATGTTCAATTCTTTCTCCAAAGTTAATTCAAACATATAGAGTACGCTGCTCTCGAGGTGTCCGTCAGGACTACCATTTCAACTCTCTCTAACATATGCTGTTTTTTCTGCATCAAACCGACGCACTTTCACATTGGACAGGCTACTGTACATGTAGCAGCAATAGAAAACCCAGCACCATTGACATACATGTGTCAATATACGGGACGAAAGCCCTAGGAAATTGGACCAAGGGAAATATTTGGACAATCATATTAATATTTGTAGATTCTAACTTTGTTGACATATTTTACAACTTACAATATAATTCCTGTAAATATTTGATGTACTTTAGAACACCTGCATCGGCTACTACAAAACAAGCCAAACAGGTCTTATCTTGGCTGTAACTTTCCCGGATATTACTCAAACAAGAGCACACATGTACGTAAAATTACAAATCGAGGGGCTCTTCACACGATACTGGCCAACATGTACAATCAAAAGCTAAGGGGTTCCTCAAAAGATAAATTTAGTTTGTTTCAAAGTGGCATAGACTCGATCAGACTTGAAGTTAACATTTTCTAAATATCATGACATATATGTTGCAAGAGCATGTGAAATGTAATAAAGGTGTTGTTAGAAACTTATTTGATCTCGATATTATTAAAACTACAAATTTCAAAATGCGTTTGATTTTAAAACAAATTTGAATTTAAATGTCTCGTTTCCTTAATAACCTAACGCCGGATGTGCCTTTCCCTTCCTAAGCACCTGATCCCACCTCTGGTATTTCTGCGGGTCCGAATGTAAGCACTGATCAAAGATTGTAATGTTGTTTGTTTTTAGATCGATTACTTGTCGTTATCTATACCCTTTTCATTGCATCTTATCCAATTGCAATTTATTGAGATATACTTTACCCTTAATGTAAAAAAAATTGCTAAATGAAAATGAAAACTATTTCAACAAAAATCAGCAAATTCGGAGTAGAAAAGCAAAACTGGGTCAATAGCATTGTCAGTCCGTGCTCAGTGATATGTGCAAATTTTACAAATTGAATACACTCGGTGAAACGTAAACATGAAACATAACACAGCGCCTTCCTTTTTTACAAACACAGGTGTCTGACTTTTCTATCAATTAACAGTAGTTATTCAAATGGATATCAATTGCGGCCCGTTATAAGCAAACCTATTCTTGTACTCATATGAAGCAGAATTCATTCAAAAGCTTCTACATGAGGGGAAGAACTTGCTTTCGCTTTCAACTCGATGTTAAGATATATTAATTATATCAATTAACAATAACCCTCACGAAAGCTCAGTCGGTAGAGCGCTCGCTCCGTGATCGAAAGGTTGTGAGTTTGAATCTCGGCTGCGACTGTCAATAGGAAGTAACTGTTTCTTCGCCAAGTTCTCGGCACTTTGAAGTGAAAGTTGCGGGTCCTTCAAGTGAGACCTTAAAAACAAAAACCTAGGCCCCGTGTTACGGCAGGCGTTGGCACGATAAACATCTTTCACTGCTCAATGGCCATGAGTGCCGAGTAAAGGTCAAAATTTGAAGCCCTTCACCGGTATCTGATGACGTCTCTATATGAGTGAAAAATTCTCAAATGGGACATAAAAACAACATACAATCAATTAACAATAGTTACTTCCATTCTTATATCGATTTTAAATACCCCAGTGATCTTGAAATAAAAGACACCACAGAGTCTTACAGAGACTTTATTCTATCTAAGAAATAGATTAAAGTTGCTTCATTATTCCTACCTTAATTTTAATGGTACAAATATAAGCAGAAATAAAGTTGAAATTAAAAAGTAGGACAAAGTAGTACAAAGAAAGTTTGAATGAGTATAAAGAAGAAACTTTTAAGTACGTATTGAACGTAAACGTGGGTCTTATGCCACCAGTCGACGAAACGTACCATTAACAATATTTTACCGGGCCATAAAGAAAATTTTGTATATTTAATACTCTTGTGTGTTTTCTCGCATTTTCAGGCTCATAGGAAGCTTTTTTCATAGGAAGCTTTTTTAGGGGGGGGGGGCACCAAAAAAAAAAATAAATAAAAATAAAACTAGAAACTAAAGTAACGGCGATACATTTTAAAAATCAGAAAACAGTTTTAACCGTGTTTTGGATCTTAAATCAAATAACTTTTCTGTGACAAGGTGAAGAGAACAAACAGTTATCGATCCAATAACAAGAGGCCCAAGGGCCTTGAATCGCTCTTCTGATAAACTGTACAACCTATCACTTCTATTTGAAGCCCAAAAAAATCCTGTATATTTAGATAAACCCTTGAAATTCCAATTCACACTCTGAGAACCCAAGATGATTCTAAGCCAATTAGTACCTGAGAGTTGGTCATGGTGACCTACTTTTCACTTGTCATTCTCTGAGGACCCATCAACTAAGTTTGATGATTCTAAGCCAATTAATACCTAAAATTTTTTTAAAATTATAACCATAAAAATTTATAAGT